TAACTTTTGCAATGATTCAAGATAAAATTTCAAAAGTAAACTAACCAATCATTGTTGCCTAGATAGGTACTGGCAAGCACATAGTACTCGTAAATGGCAATCGATCTCTCACCCATCATCAGTCCCATGTCCTCTCTGCTCAGGACGGCACTTCGTTTCTTCCTCATTGAATTTCCCGAATTTTCTGTTTTTCCGACTCCAAACTGACACTCAAGAAATAACTTGGCACAGCTGTAACAAATATTTTGTCTATTAAACTAAAACTAAAGTTTAATTGGCTTTTATTTTGTTACAAAAATACTTTGGAATGAAAGAATAAAGTAAAATCAATTATTTTTTTAATTAAAATTCAGTTGAATAGCAGCCAGAACCACACACTCGATGACTTTCTCTATCTTCTCCAAACACTGAATCATTGCCGTAACCACTCCGATTTTGGGAATTTTTCTACAGCTGTTGATGCAGCTGGCGACAGATCTGTAGGCGGAGAAGCAAGTCCACGGGTAGTTGAAAACGCAGTTGCAGTTTATCGGGGAAGTAACAGTCGTTCCCTTAGATAAATCTGTCAAATTTTTTGTATAAAAAAAGTTAATTTTTTAAAATAAAGTTGCAATTTTACATTTAGCATTGTTTGACTTAGTAAATATTATATAAATATTATATTATATTATATTATAAAAAAATTTTATCACAAAAATTAACAAAGTAAAATATCTTTCTAAAGTTAATCTGACCCGATCCACTTCCCCATCCAAAGGCAGGGGCCAGCCAGGGTCGGAACTGGATGTTCATCCCGAGACCACTGCCTCTTGCTGCTTCAGCTGAACAAACTTTTGAGTTATCGATGGTGGACATGAGCTCGTTGTAACGCTTCTTGTCGCAGATGTAGTAGTAGATGGCTTTCATCAGCAGGCTCAGGCATTTTATACTTCAAAATATTTCAATTGGAAAATAAACAATAAAATATTTTACCGAACTCTTCCAAAATTCAAATTATTGAAATTTTATATATAAATTAAAATTATTATTTTACATCTATCCATTTTTGAATGTCGCAGCCACATTAGGTAAACTTACAAATTACTCCTTTTACGAACACTCCTCTTGGCGAGACTGGAGTCTAGGTATTGAAGTTTTTTAACCTCATCTACGTGAACTTCGACAACGGCGTACAACGTTGTGTTCGCCGGGATGTCTCCGAGGTCCGTGTTGCTCTGAAAAATAAAAGTAGATTTTAAAATAGTTTACGAAATTAAAAAAACCAACCATAGTTAAAGTAAGGAAGGGATGAGCATTGGCAGCAGGCAATGTGAATTGAAATCCTTGAGCCGTTATTAATCCGTGATTTGTAATTTTGAACTGCAGGGTCGTCAGCAGGCCCCTCTCCATCAGATCCAAATCGATCTGGGTGGGATCCATGGTCACCACAGGAGTCGGAACGTTCGTCGTGAAATCCGCTTCCAAAACGATGTCGTATTTGTCTTCTATGGGCACTGGTTTCACTACCCAGCTGTTTTAAAATTGTGTTTTATTCATATTTGTATTATTTCTATTTTTCTATATACTTCTGTACATTTTTGTTATTTAAAAAAAATTATTTCTGAACAAACTTCAAACCTGTAAGTCACAGCTGTTCTCTGTAAGAAGACTGACAACCGATTTTGTCCTTGCGTCGCGAATATAACGCGTGAGTCTGGCAGGTGTTTCTCAGCTGACGTCTGCAGAGTGTAATAATCTTCTGGTATGTTCACGAACGTCACAGCGCCTATTGAACAAAACAAATCTTTGACAAACCTCATTTTTTCAGTTAGGGAAATGTGAAATTTGTTTGAAATTTATTTGAGGCTAACACGATAACAAATGAAACATGAAATGTACCAGACGCATCTGTGTTTTGCTGGACAGTCAGTCCTGTGTACCTGGAGGTCAAAGCCACGCGGGCTGCCGCCAAAAGAGGTTTGTCGCTCGAGAAGTACGTGTATTCATCTTCAACTTTCACTGTTAGATTCAAACGATCTGTGGAGGCTATTATGAACCTGCAGTTGAGAAATTGTTTGCCATCTCGTATATACACCATTTTTGTGGCGAAAGTCAAAAATTGAAAACGTTTTGCAATTCAGTTCACCTGAAACTGAAAGTAGCAGCTGTTTCTGTTGACACGATTGAGGCGCTCCCCTTAACATCACCTATGGATTCATTGGCCGAAGGGTTGAAGGAAAACACCAGAGTGCAAGTCTGATCCGGTTCTAAAATAATTCCTGCCTCTGATGTGCTCGTCAGTGTCGTAGTGTTGCTGCCAAATGAGATGAAGCTTAAAAGAGAGCTACTGGGAAGTTGTGGTTTGACGTTCGTGGCAGCCCTGGAACCCACGTTTGTTAGTTGTACCTGTACGTGGAAGAATAATAATGTTCAAACTTATATTTTTGATTCATTTTAATTTTTGTGAGAAATGCCTGTTAAAAATTTGTTTGTAAACCTGAAAAAATTTGTTGTTTCCTCTTGAAACAACAGCTTCTATGTAAGTTTGAGACAAAACAAATGCTGGGTATTTGTGCTGGAAGGAGAAGTAGAAGGATCTCTGCTCAGTCACTTGATCATTTGTTACCATCGTTAAAGGCAGGTTACCTGAGTAACCCTGTTCAACTGAAATGTTGTGCAATTTGATCAAGTATTTGAACTTTTTCTAAATATTCATCTACATCTACAAAATGCTCATAAATTGTAGAAAATAATGTAAAACATTTGTTATTCACGACAGGACAAAAAGTACAATCATGACAAAATATTACCGGACAGATTGGCACTGAGGACAACAGTTTCATTGGCTTTCAGGACATTTGCAACTGGACAATTGGTGGCCGTTGACGACGACGATGAAGTTGGTGACCAGAAGCATTTGATTTGTGCCGATGACGCCGTTGATGTTGGGTCGGAATAGAGAACCAAATGGAACGGAGGTGTGTAGCTCTGTGGTAAGATTTTTTAAATTTTCCCCGTGAACCCTTACGTCTTAAGTCAGAATAAGAAGCGCGAAGAAACATTAGATTAATAAAACGTTCACTCACTGTTAGATACATGTTAGTCACTGGGTCGGAGCCGATATTTTTTATCGTTATGAAGTTTTTATATTGATATTGGCCGACGTATTTGGAGACTGATGTTGGTGCGAGAGTGAAACTCATTCCATAAACTCTCCAACTTTGTTGAGCAGTCGTCAGAGTGGCTTCTACGTCTGCAGGGTGTCGTGCGTCCTGATGTCAATAACAAAGTTAAATTGAAAAAAAATTTTTTTTTCACTAAAACTAGTACAAATTTTTATAAAACAAAATGCAAAATAAATAATGATCGGTTAAAAAATTATTACTAACCAGTTCTGTCAGACCAATCTCGGAACTCAGTGGTTGGAATCTCGTGTAAAACAAACCTCTTTTGCTCATTGCAGTTGACGTTAGCGGTATTTTCCTCAGGCCAAAATTTGATTTGATTCTTGAAAAAAACATTAAAACAATTTTTCCACTTTGCAGGTTAAAATGAATTATTCTAACAGATTAAATTTTTTTTGAAAACTTACAACAAAACGATAGGCAACTGGGAATTTGTGAGGTAGGGATTGACCAACCCATCGACCCACGCAACCCTCCCACTGATGAGTGTGGACTGCGGTCTGATGAAGGGACCCCTAGGAAGCGCATCCAACACGAGGACATACGACGGAGGTACTGCCACGTCGAACGTCGCCAGGCTTCTGCCATATTTGTTGGAACATTCTACTTTCAAATTGTACGCTTTTGTACTGGCGGGAACTTTGGCCCACGTTATCAAACCAGAACTTTCGTCCAAGTTAACATTTGCTGGTGATGATACAATGAGCCATCTTAATACTGGAGTGCCCTAAAAATTATTTTAAATTATTAAAACTATAGATTGGCGTGTTTGCAGTATTTTATACCTTATTCAACCGTTTTTTAAAATGATCAGTTTAATTAAAATAGAACTTTAAAAATAATTTTAAAAACGAATAACATCAAATATAAAAATTTATTAAAAACAAAAAGTTGTTTCAACGTTCTCAACATCAACCTGAGTTACAGCAAGTTGTAATGTGAAGTCCTGTCCTTCCATCAATGAAATATTTTTGACAGCGGATACCTCAGGGGCCAATCCAATTTGGTCACAATCATCTCCAGTCCAAGGCAGAAAACAGGAGCACCGTCCCATGGTGCATATGCCTCGTTTTGGGGTTGTTGTGCTTCCACACAAATTTGAGGGACAGGCAGGGTTGAACGTGTACGTAAACTTTGAAATGCATATTTAGTTTTGTGATTTGAAAGCATTTCATTAAAGATGATAAATTTATTATTTAGTTGTAAAATCTGTTAGTCTATTAAACGTTTGAAGAATTTTTTAACTTTTGTGTCCAGATATCCTTGAGTATCAGTAATTTTGATTTCCAACTGGACAACACCTGCCTGCGTTCGTGGACTTCTGCATGATATTTTATCCTCCGATATCCAACTTCCATTAACTTCTACATTGCCGTTAAATCTTGAAAAAATTATTCGTTTGGCTGCCATCGTCATTAATTGTTAATATTTTCGAATGATTAATGAAGATTCAAAAAATTATTTCAGGGAAAGAATTGAACAAAAATGTAATTGTAAAATAGAGGATAAACAACCTGCATTTATATGTCCTGACGTTTGGCAAATTGTTTCCGCTAATATAAATGACGGTACCCCCCAAATCAGGTCCGTTGTCAGGCAGGATGCTGAACAGTTTGATGAGAGGGAGGCACAGAGGTCCAAAAAATTTCGGAGCACATTCCTCGCACAGAGGACCAACGAAGTTCGCTCCACTACAATCGCATTTACCTGTGGTACAATTATTTTTTTAAAATGTTTTTTTCAAAAACAACAAATGTTTACCTGTCATTTTGTTGCAGGTTCCGTGGACGCAACTGGGACAGGGCAAACAACTGCTGCCCCACCAGCCTTCTTTACATTGGGAACAGTCAAGTCCAGAATATTGAGAAGCGCACATACACCTGAAAATGCATGAGTATATTTATTTTGAATCATTAAACACAAATTTATTAACGACACGCCAGATAGCCCGACGAACGATTCACATCTGACTCACTGGTCAGGTCCAATACAGACGCCCCTGTTTGAGCAATTATTTCGTTGGTAGCAGTTGGTCCTCGAGCAATCGTCGCCCCACCAGCCAGCCTCGCAACTGCATCTATCAGGTCCTACGCACGCACCTCGGCCCAGACAATCGTAAACCCTGATGTCATTAAGAGAGTACTTTCAATTAGTACGATGGAGAATGTTTTACTTTACTTGCAAAACATTTTTGGCTTAGAGTGAAAGAGCTGACAAGTAAAAAATTTGGAAAAAGTAACCTGGAGCAAGAATATTTGCCGCAATTGAGACCTGTCCAGCCGGAGTAGCACTGGCAAACATCGGGAGCGACGCACAAACCATTCCCTGAACAGGACTGCACTCCGGAGCACGAGAACTTGGTCTCATTCAAGTAGGGCTCATAAACGATGCGACCGAGTGTGGCATCTGTAGTTGCGTCCTTCAATCTGCCTGCGATGCTCGAACTCTCATTGGAACCCACCAATTGTAGGTGCAGTTTTTAGTGAATTCAAAACCGAATTTGGCAATAAAGTCAAGTCTTGAATATAAATTGATTAATTGTAATTTTAAGTCAACAAAAACATTTTACATAATTTTTTACTGCAGACTATAGAACAACACAGCTACTTGACGCTGGGATTTGAAAAAAGGTTGAAAGAGAAGTTGGCAGCAGGAATGTTGGACGCAACGACAGCTTCCGATGGGAAGTTATCGAGGAAAACGTTGGAAGACACGTCCAGACGGGAGTTGTTGTTGTTCAGCACGTTGGAGTAATACGATTCTGTGTCTGCACTTTTGCTGATGACTTCTAAAATATTTCTCCCGCCATTTTTTTCAAATCGATTCTGTGCTATAAGAGACTTAATTGGTGGCAACTTGTGGTAGTCAATCAAAAAACTTTCGCTGTACATGTAACTCAACGATGCCTGTTTGATGACAGTTTGTGAGAAATTATTTCAAGCAGGTTCAAATCTCAGTAAAACATATGTAAAAACGTTTTTATTTTTTAACGAAACATTTTACGATTAGATTAAATTTAAAAATTAAAAGAGTCGTAACTCAAACATTTTTTATTTACTAAAACCCACTTTGAAATAATTTTTAGTTCGGTTGGCCATATTTGAAATAAATTTATTTCTCAGTACACTGGCTTCAACGCCATAAAAGTTTTCCAAAATGACAGATGCATCAGACGAGTTGGCAAACAAGTTGTCGACCAGTTTGACGTTCAACTTTTTTACAGAACCAGTCATTTCTCGGACGATTTTGACAGAAAGAGAAACAAATTTTTGGAAAGTGTTTTCTTGTATAACGACGTTGTCACTCTCATTCAAAGATAACATGATAACTGAAACCGGGTATCCAAATGGATCGGAAACTGTTGATGTTTCCGTGAACGTTGAACGACTCACTTCCACATTGCTGTTCAAATAACCTGAAGAACCAACGCCTAGGCCGTTGTCAATAAAGGAACAGTTAACAATTCGAATAGATGAGTTTGTTCTGTGTTGGCTGCTATCCAGTGTTATCCCGTAATAATTTGTTCTTCTGATCATGCAGTCCTTCACATCAACCAAAGAAAAACCAGATGAAGTTCTTAAGCCACTCTGACAACTGGATATTTCATTATTATATTTGAGTTTCATAAATTTCATTTTTATAGATTGTTATTAACAATTAAATTCATCAAAAATTATTTGTGAATATTATGAAAATATTTTATTTGACTTTTTTCTTCAGTTTTTGGCAATACATAAAACGATAAAAAGCATTCGATAGAACTTAAAAAACTTACTCAAAAAATGTGCAACCGGATATCGTCAAGTGATTCTCAACGAGCAGATTGAGATTATCACCTCTCAGAAAATTTACAACATTTTGGACACGATTGAAAGTAGAATTCATCACTTCGATAACATCTCCCAAAAATCTGAACTCTCCTTCGACGAAGTCAGCCAGCAGATTTTTTGTGCTGATTTTATTCGCTTTAATTAGAGCAGAACTTTTCAGGTTAAAAAATGTAATATTTTGTAACGCCACCTCATCGTCTGCATACAGTTGAATCAGTTTTTATTGAAATTCTTGAAAATTTCTAAAAAAAAGCGAAAACCGGACTTACCGCTAAAAATCGCGAATGAATCGACGCCAACGATCGTCACAGGCGAACCAATACTGGCGTTTATAATCAAGTTACCTATTTATTTCAATAATTGCAAAATATATTAATAGGATTTTTATTATTAATTCATGAAAATTGTTTTATAATAATAATTATTATTATCATTATTTTTAAAAATAATTTCGCATTATTATTACTATTTCATAAAATATTTTGTTGACTCACCCTCCACAGCGAAACCATTATCATTTGAAAACCTCAAAACTATGCCACCATTTAATGTTAGGGTAACGTCTTTCCTTTATTCAAATAAATTTAAACAGTCATATTAAAACATAAATAACAAAAATTTGAACAGTTTTTTACTCCATATTTGTGATAAATTAATTTTGAAAAAAAAACTTACGGAACAAAGATGGACAGTTGTATGTTGTAAATTCCATTTGTAATGTTGCTCAGGACTCTGGAGTATGTTACTTCCCCTCCAACAAAATCTGAAAAAAATTAAAAAAAATATTTCACTAGTCGAAATTAGCCAACTATTTACGCTAACATTCAACCCATTTTTGTACGAACCAGATTCTTTATTGAAAATGTTACTTTCTGGTTTGTTAATTACTGCCTCGCTGCCGTTGTTTACCAAAATCAAAGGCCAAATATTGATAGGGTTTTGAATTGGGTTGGTGTAATAAGATGCGATTCTGAAATAATTTCAAGAAAAAAAATTTGAATTAGAAAATTGAATCAAGTAGAATTTAGTTTCAGAAACCTTTTCAAGACATTCATCCAGCTTGATTGCATCCATTTATTATTTGATAGATCATATATAGTGGCCAGATTGCCATCTAAACGATTCCACTCGGATTCAACGGCCACATCAACACTTAACTCCGGACTGAAAAAGCTATTGTTGTACACTCTTATTTCAATTTTATATCTTATCATAGGGAAGCGTATTATGCAATTTTGGCCGTACGGTTTAGGTCTGTTGTTTAAAAATACGTTGTGTTCGACCGTGTTGTTCAGGCTATCAAAGCTGAATACCGTCTTTAGGGCATTATCTGATATAATATTCCCTGACGCCTGGATATTTTATGAATTAAAAAGTTAAGATACACCATAATGAATATTGAATTTTAAGGTTTTACCAGAATTTTGAAACAGTACTGTGCTGAAACGATCGTGCTGTAGATATTGTTCACAAATTTATTATTCCTCAATGTACCAGTCAAAAGAGACATGCTTATCATTACCAGCTCATAGCTGGTGGTCTCAATCAGCTCAACAAATTCGTTGTCTTCAAGAAGAACCTCAAAATACTGAGTATCCAATTTGGTGGTTCCTTGAAAATATAAAATGCTGCGACCGAACTTCGATCTGAACTGACAGTTCTTCACAACTGCCCCAGACGAACTGACTGCATTACCGCGTGACTGCATGCTGATGGCGAACGATTGAAATTGTGAAAAGTTTGAATTTTCAACAGTGAGATATCCACGCCCAGTCCATTTAATGGAAGCCTCCCTCGTGTTGATGAGAGAACTGTTCGTTACAAAACATTTGAAGTCGTTGAGGAAGTCCGTCAAAGTGAAAATAATGCCGGAGCCTCCAGAGTTTATCGATGTGAAATTATCAATTGTGAAGAGGCCCGTCGCAAAGCCAAATATTTGAAGCGAGTGAGATGAACCGTTGACGACTTCAATGTTTCTCAGTGTTGGGAGTTTTCCTTGGATCGAAATGCCAATATGGGGATTGGTCAGTTTGACGTTGTTGACGACGGATTGATCGACTGCAAGGTTTGTTCAAAAAATAAAAAATGATCTTGTTAACGTTAGTTCAGTTATTGCATTGTAAAAGTTATAATTTTATTTTAAAGTTACTCACCAGCTGATCTCTTCCTCCTCTTTGAAACTTTCCCCGTCCACTCTTCCATTTTGAAACTGGACATGCTCTGACTGTTGGATGCACTGGCTGCAGATGACGTCACCAAACTCAAGGAAGCAGATGACGATGATGTAACATTCTCTTGGAATATTACGTTGTCGCTAGGAGCTGATGAAGACAAAACTTTTATAGACGAGTAACCGACATCAGATGGGTTGAATGTTGACGTTAACACGAAGGAGGCGTCCATGTTGAATTCATTGGCACGTCTTGGGTTGTTTCTTAAGTCCAAAATTAAACTTTCTCCGTTCTTCCTGTAATAAAAATGACAAACAAATGACAATATCGGTGTAGGTATGCAGAATGTTTTTTTCCACAATTGCATACCGGAGAAACCAGCCAGGTTTTTTTGAAGACATGAGCGAGAAACATTTGGGATCAGTTGCCAGTAGACAAGGAGTGACTTGAACGAACATGTCGTCATCATCCAAAGTTTGAGAGGTCAATGTGACGTCATCAGATGATGTAACTGCCAGTCTCTTGCCAGATTTTGTTGTGACTTTCACGTATTTATCTGTAAAGAACAATCGCGTTTATTTTAAAAACTTTCAATTATTTGAAGCAAGTGTTTAAATATATTAGGCATTTTAGCCGGGTTTTAATTTGGTTCTAACAAATTAAACAGCTTGAATTAACTTTTTAACTTTACCGGCTTGTTTTGTTGAAAAATCCGTACAGGTGATGTTATAGAATTGAGTAGGGTTTGCCTGTGTGTCCCAAGAACATTCCTGAACTACAAATAACTCTGTAGAACGGCATTCCAACGTGACTCTTCGATAATCCCCCGTCTTGTTCATGCACGGTGGGACTGATGCTTGCTCCCTACTTGACAGGGAACTGATGTATGATTTCAATGATGTTTTTTCATTTGAATAAATTTCATTTCGCTACATTTTTTTTAAATTTTGTATTTTCACTCACGTGCAATCGAAAACCGTTTGACTGGACGATTCTTTGTAGCCAGCTTGTTGACATAAAAGATCGGCGGTAAATTTTTTATTAGGATTTTCATTCAAGTTTATAACGAACCAATTATTTTGAAAAAATGCTGACCACCAATTTCTCTCCCTCTTAACCACCCACTCTTTAAAAGTTAAAAAAAATTTTTGCTTGTGCAATTGTTGTGAATGAAATTATGATGGTGGTGCAATAAATAAAACCAAATTCTAACCGTTGAATTTTTGTTGAAATTTGATACCCTTCATTTTTGATATGTCTGATTGCCATATCAATTCAATTTTATTCTGTTCAGTTCCAGACAAAGATAAGGTACCTTGAAATAAATATTGTTCATCTTA